TCCCTACGCAATTACGAGATAGAAAGAAATGATGCAGAATATGCAACAAGAAGGGTAATCCAACTAACTTTTAAACGACACTCCGCGCTTTTACTTCGAATGGGATCCAAGCAATTACGCTCCGAGGGCTCCTTAATGAAAGAGGGAGCGGGAACACACGGAAAACTATTGAAATACACAAACGTCGATTATGCAATGGAACTATTTAAGTGGGTTCGCACTCGACCTACATCGATCAAGATCAAGAGAAGAAATTGACCCGGTTCGATTCCGACCATCAATGAACGTATTTTCGACATAAAATTCTCTTCATCTTCGATCGTACCTTTATTCTCAGCCAACAATCGGGATATGTCAAAGTGTGAGAAGAAACGGTAAAAGCATCGGAAAATGAAAAATGCAAGCGTGATCCGTCGCGACGAGCTACATATATATCGTTATTCTGTTCCAAATAACAATCAACGTAAACTTTTCACGCAAAAAGAGACGACACTCGGACGTTCCGATCGTCACGGTGATAAGGAGAGTCTTATCATGGCGTCATGTATTTCCGATATTTTTCTCCAAAAATTATTCTTCCCCATCCCTGTCTCTTCCCCGTGATATCTCGATAGCCCCTCCTCGCGATCCTCGTCGCATTGGATCCGCCGTTGGGTCCAGCTGCTGCTCGACGGACGCGCGATCGGTAAACGGTAAATACGAGACACGGAGGGCGCCGCGACGCTGCGCGTCCCGCAGAATCACGATCCGCACTGGTACGCCATCGAGCGTTAGAGAAACTTCAGCAACCCTCCAACCATCCCGGTCCCCCACTACTCTATAGCTCGGGCCGACCGGAGGAGCGTATACACGTGCGGCGAACGCGCCTGTGTGTCCGCGTACATGTGCCCGTATGTATACGCGCGGCAGAAGACCCATACCGGCACCCGACATCATTCCGGCCACGGTTCTCCAGCGACGGACTTGGCGCGCGCGCGCGCGCGCGCACACACAGGGTTGGTCGGGGGTGTACGATCGGGTGCGCGAGCGCACCGTTCCTTTCCTCCGTTCGTTCCACCACTACTACCGACGTACACATCGACACGCTCTCCGTCTTTCTCTCAAGCCCGATTGCCGCCGACCATCCCTCTTACGCGCGCCTTTTCTCTCTCCCTGATACTCTTTGCTCCCCTCTTTTTTATGTTCCTCGGGGGGGGGGGGGGGGGGATGAAAACATCGTCGAGTGGCTACTAGACCCCTTTCGAGGATTCGGCAAGCAACGGAGGACTTGGCCACTGACTGGTAACAAGCGAGCAAACATCCCCGGGTTGAATAGACTGCTCTAAACGACGTCGCTTGCCGGGCAGTTGAAATCGTGAAAAGAGAGAAAGAGTTTACCCCCTCGATATAACCGGCGCGAAGTCAGAGAGCGACGACACGGCCCGCCGCTGGCAGTCCTTGGTATTCCACGACTGATTATCTACCGATGAGAATAAACGGGAACGACAATGATAAATTGATAATGACGCGTCCAGGGGTCCCTCGACACGCCGCGCACGGGCCACGTATCCTCGCGCGGGGGTCGGGAATTACGCGGGCAAGACTTTACATCCGAGTGGAATAACAAGCGCAATAACGATAATAATAAATCAAACTTATCGCGCGACAAAGGCGAAGAATTTGTTAACTAGAGATACAAAGAGGAAGAGAGAGAGAGAGAGAGAGAGAGAGAAAGATAGCGTGGCAAAGGGGGAGAAGAAACGTAGAGGAATAAATCGTTCTCTCGTGGAACGTACCAGCGGGCTGGCTAACCGGTTACGATACGGGAAGCGCGGGATGCGCGCCGTGCCGTGGTCGCGCATGCTGCCGTACCCGGCGAATAAAACGAGAATAATTCGAGCGCTATTGGATAACGTATCGCGACGCCGGGCTTGGAGAACGGTGCGCGGCGTATATAGCCGCGCTCAACGTAGCGCGAGCCATAGCTGGAAATTGGAACCCCGCCTCGTCCACGGGAGTCGGAGCGAGGTTAGGTTAGGTTAGGCCATCTAATCCAATGTTTTACAGGTTTACTGATTGCGGTGGAACGCTGTACGACGCGACTTTCAAGAGAGAGAGAGAGAGAGAGAGAGAGAGAGAGAGAATTGGACCGATCCTTTTCAATCCCTCTTTGCCCTCCCCGTTCCTCCCCCGCTTTCATTCACCCGATCCCGTCATTCTGGGGTTGTATTCCCTTCTACCCCCCCGTAACCCTCTCACATCGACGCGACTCCCCCACACATCCTCTTCGCTCTGTCTCGCACGCGCTGTCCTAATTCTCCGACAAATAAACGCATCATTGGCCAGCCGTAGATTTACCAATCAGAGTGATACCTGCCTCCGTATAGGACAGCGAAAGCCCGCGCGGAAACCGTGCGGAAACCCGCACGCGATTCGGAATAGCAATGAAAACAGACCTTTAAATCTGCCCGTATCTCGTTCGACGTTCTCTCTACGTCCTGCCGTGATTTCCGATCGTCCCGGATCTTTTTGGTCGGTCAACGTTCCCTATTAGCGACTCCCTACGCTACCCGCTTTCTCTCTCTCTCTCTCTTTTTCTATACAAACCTCTTTTTTTCAATGAACTAATTAGCATAGAAACACATACAACTAACGCGTCATTGATTTAAATGCAAATTTACTTTGCTCGAGAAACGAACTCTCGAGGTCAAAGAATACTTTGAGGCATTAAGTTTTTATAGAATTACGCGATATTGCTACGAGAATAGAAAATAAATAATGAAAAAGCCAATAAATGATTAAACTTGATTTTATTGAAATTCTCAATAGAATCACGTTCTAAATCATACGATATTTTTCTCGTCCGCGACATATGACAGAATATACACAAATAACTTTTATACGTTGATATATGACTTCGCCATTTTCGAAAATGCATCTGCATTGTATCTACTGTTGATCCCGCGTAATTTTTAAGAATGGCAATTTCTTTTAATCTCTCTCTCTCTCTCTCTCTCTCTCTCTCTCTCGTATCGAATTATGATTTGCGAGACTTTCTTCCATCAAACGCGCCGCTGCGTTCGTGGAACATCTCACATCGAAGATTATTAACGAACGGCATCGATGAAAAGGATGCGCTTCGTTAAATCCGTCGTGTTCATTAAACCGATCGCGCAAGAGGTACGTGCGAGAGTTTATAATAAAACTCTCCTCTCGGCAAAAAGAGAAAAGCGAAAGGACTTTTTCGTATAGGACAAGTGGCGGAATCTCGTTTCTATAAATTGAAAGTATCGAAAAAAGTATATAGAGGACAATGCGAGAATACGAAAAGGAGAGAGCGATAATGGTCGTTTCTTGCATCGCGTTGAACGTTGCGTTAAGTTCGCGGGTAGACGAGTGGCGGATAGGTGGAATGGATAGATGGATAGATGGATGAATGGATGGCCTGGACGGACGGACGGACGGACGGACGGACGGACGGACAGACGAATGTCCTTGCACTATCGATTACAAGAATAGCTTACGCGACAGACAAGGAGAGAGCGGTAAAGTGATGCAGACAAATGGTAATGTCATTACTTTTATCTCGACAGTGGCGAGAAGCGCCTCGTCTAAAATAAAAAGACGAAAGTTACGACGAGTAGACGTAGAGAAAAATGCATAAAACTAATGTAACTAATACCCTTTGTGTCCAACATTAGGAAACCTAATTATAATAATTGTATCAAATTTTGATCAATTTCTCTCATTGCATTCCTGATTAATTGTTTTTAGTAGTGGGCTTACTTATTTAGAGAAAAGGATCAGAGAGGAATTAGTATTCTTGAGGGATCTTTCCAAAAAAAAAAAAAAAAATTGATTTATAAATACATAACGAGTATTTATTTATTTCGAGTAATTTAAAATATCTTTTGCAACAAAACACGTATGTATTAATACTACGCTCATTTTAAAAGAAGAAGAACTAGAGTTGTATATCATTTTGATGTCACGCGGTTTCTCCTGATATGCAAAAATGATAGATCCCAGTGCGACGGTTTACCCAAAGAGCAAAGAATAATATGCGGTCGGAATATATTATGAGTCGCGAAAAAAAGCATAAAGCAAATCCTAAAAGACTTCATTGAATGAGTTGAAAGAAGTTCTGAAGAGAAAATATAATCTCGTGGCATTAAATAATCTACAAAAAATCCATATATCATTATCCCAATATATCGGTATTATTAATAAATTCTCTCTCTCATTATCATGAAATATTTTTTTAAACGCCGATAATGATTCTTAAATGTATTATTTTTTCTTTTATTATTTATCTCTCTCTCTCTCTCTCTCTCTCTCTCTCTCTCTCTCTCTCTCTCTCTCTACCTTAAACTATTCTGATGTTTTCTCTGTATCGCTATATTGGTTTTCTTAATCTAATTGATAATGCACGAGAATATAATTATGCAACTTATGAATAATAGATTACGCAAATTATCATGAACAGAATCGACATACCTCTGCTAATAACTAATAGATAGTATACGATTTGTATCATCTAATTGAATATGGTAATTGTATTTAGCCGACTCTACACATAAATATTGGAAAGTCTACACTCAGTTAATGACACGTTTACATAATTATTTATTTACACGTTGTATTAAAAAGTCCGACATTAATAATATGTCCGGAAGAGCAGCGGTTTATTAATGCCCCCGTATACACAATAAGAGACGCCGCGTACACGCGCACATACATTGGGCGTCTATAAATTATTTATAAAATTAACCGCATCGGTCCGTGTAACGATCTCCTAAAATCCCCACGTCGCGAGCGTTTCAGAGGATGCTGGGATCCCCCGATCTGCTCCCGACCGGAAGTACGTGCTAAGACGATCGTCGCCCGTGTACCTGGTCCGGATTACGTCCCTCTCGCGAACGTGAAACCGATTTAAACCCTTTTGCCACAACACGCTATCTAACCAAAAACCCATTTTGCTATATCGTCGTATTAAATTAATTTTTATGCTAATAATTATATGAGAATAAATGCAAGATATAAAATATAAAGTTTTCTAATTATATAATATTATATTTAAAAAATAATTAAAGAGTTACTGTAGAGATAATAAATCTAATTAAATAACTATATACCCTATATATGATCACATTATATTTTTTATATGTTTAAATCCAAGTACGTATATATGTGACATTTCTTTAAAATTATTACCAATTTGAGAAAATTGAATATGTATTTATAACAGCTTTCCAAAAACTGTGATTTTCTTTATAATTTAAAAGATGGAATTTTAAACAAACAATCACGAATTAGGCAAATGTCACGTATATGCAAAACTTTCAAATAAATCGATCAACAAAAAAAGGTTTGAATGTACAAAAGGTTAAATTTATTTTTTCATTAGCGAGGTATCATTTCATCCCTTATCGTTAACGAGGAACTCATAATGTTCGTTCGTTGATTGGCAGGGCAACGAAATCATTTATCGATTTGTTCAACTACTCCTGTGATATCGATATTTAATTGCGATATCAATTATATTGCACGGCATACGGTTTGCAAAGAGGCATATATATATATTTTTTTTTTATCTCAAACCCTTCGTAAAATTCCAGTTTGTTGATCACGCATCCGTTAATGAGCGAGTAAAATATAAAATATCAAATCGTTATATGTAGCACGCGTTACTTTTTTTGCATCGATAGCAACAACTCAACGTATCTTCGAGCAAATAATTTATTCGTGCGCAGAATAAAATGCGCAATTCGCGGAATCG